TAAGCAGCGAAGGCTGTAGTCTGCTGGCCTTCTGGAGGTGGCACTCCTGAAGAATGGCTCCCCTGGACCTCCACCTAAGCCAGTCACCTCTGTAAAATCTAGAAGACTGGACAGACTTTAATGAAAGCAAAGACGTCGTATGTCTCTGGTCTCTGTGTGAGCATTCCTGTAGGTAACCATAGGATGAGAGCTACCCTGTGCAAACTACTGGCTCCTTCCCACCCAATGCATTTTGACCTGTTTGGGGTAGCCTGAGCCCTAATCATCCCTACAGAATACCAGCACAATCACAGAACAGATCTGGTTATAACCCCAGCCCAGAAGACAAAACAGTCCTTTTACAGGAAGTACTCATGTTTGAAAACTTAGTGTGCGAAGATTGCAACCTGTCATTATGTTCCCTGGGGAACTACCTTCCTAAAAATTATCTCTAATGAGACCCACAAATCTAAATGGGAGACAGCTTACTTTATTGTGTTTGTAAAGATAAAAATGTTTTAAATAGGTCATAGCTCCTGGGACTGACAGTCCTACCATGAGGGGAAGGTCATTTTGAAATGTTAATAAAAGTTTTCATAAAATATGAGGGTTCTCAAAGAGTAATGTTTGGATGTAAAAATACCCATGAAAGTATAATTTCTACCAGGGTGCACAGCAGTTTGTCTGCATCAAAATATCTGCTCAAACCCTCACTGCGTTTTTCCAGCTGTTTTGATGGCCGTGCTAGGATCTGATCTTTATTAGCAGGGGCTGGGGGGCATCACCACCTTCCCTGGTTGTATTAGAAACACCCCTGTGAAGCTCATACATACCCCTTACCTAAGGTTGGCTCAGTTTGCCCAGGCCATCCTAAAACCAAAGGCAAAACAAAGACGGACCAAGAGGCTTCAACAAGAAGGGCAGCCAGACCTCAGCCCCAAAGCTGGAGTGCTGTGGGATGATCCTTCCGTACACTGTGAATATGCGTTCCTCTCATTGGTCAATAATAAAGCTGTTTTGGTCTATGGCAAAGCAGGATAAGGTTAGGCAGAACAATCAAACTGAGGACTCAGATGAAGAGGGGTGGAGTCAAGAGAGATGCAAGCAAGATGCCCAAGAAGCAAGATACCAGAGGGCCAGTAAAGCCATGGCCACGTAGCAAAAATGTAAGAGCCAGTTAGTAATAAGCCTGAGCTATCAGCCAAACATGTTGTAATTGATATAAGCTTTTGTGTATTTATTTGGGACCTGGTGGTCGGGACAGAAAAGCTCCACCTCCATTTACGCTGGAGTTTCTGCCACTCACTATGGAGCATGGCAAATGGAAACACCCATGTATTTCCTATCCAATGACCTCCTTCATGCTTAAAGTTAACCAGTTCAAAGAAAACCATCACAGAAGAATGTTCTAAGTGACTAGATAACTAATGAGACCAAGTCATTCCATGTTTGCTAAATCACAGTGCCTCAAATTAACCTTGATGCTTCTCTATCAGGGTGGTGGGGCATGTGGGAACTTAGGGTTGGGAACAAAAGTCGTTGCAGATACTTGAGGCAGAGGTTAAGGGAAAGCTAAGATGGGACGGAATCTAGGATCATAGATTTGGGGGAAAGAAGAGATAGATAGCACCGGACTCTTAATTCCAAAATAGACTGGCTAGAGCCATCTGTAAGCCATGGACTCTCTCAGCATTGTTCAGTTCTTGCATTAAGCCTACTACCCACTAATGTCTTGAATATTAAGAGACACTAGTAGATGTGTTAGTGAACTTCAGATTACTGTAGCCAAATGCCTAAGATAATTGACTTATCAAATAAATAAGGTTTACTCAATCCATGGTTTTGGGGGTCCTAGCCTGTGATGGATTGTCCCCGACACCTTGGGGCTCTGTCAGGATGAGGATGTCAAGAGATAGAAGAGCAGGAGAATCATGAGCCAGGAAGCCAAGAACAATAAGGTGAGACTGTGGTCCCATGACCCTCTTCAAGGACACCCCACTAAGGATCTGGGGACCTCCTCCCACTAGGCCCCACCGCCTCCACCACCACCCAACACCACTGTCCTGGGGACCAACTTCTAACTTACACATGTCTATCTAGAGGCTACTCTGTGTCCAAACTCAGTCAGTGCTTAAATCCTTCATGCCCTCCCCTTACCCATGGACGCTCATCCAGGCCTCAAGGGACCATGTTTCCCCTTTCCTCCCACATCTATTGTTCTGAGATCTCCAGGACTCCCATCCATGAATCTTGTATCTCACACTCAGAACCCTTTGTCTTGAGTCTTAGAACTGATTCTGGGAACTTGAGCTCTTCCTTACCTGTTTAGAAAGCTGGCTCTTGAAACAGTGTGTGTGTATTGTTGCATGTACATATTTGGTTGCATGTATGCGGAAGTAGCGTGTGTATATGTGCGCATGTGGAGGCCAGAGGTCAATTTCAGGAGTCGTTCCTCAGGCGCCATTCTATTTTTTTTTTTTTTTTTTTGAAATAGGGTCTTCCCTTGGCCTGGAGCTTGTTCATTAGGTCAGGCTGGTTGGCTAACAAGCCCGGGGTATGTACCTGTCTGTCTCCACCTCCTCACTGCTGGGATCACAAGCACATACACCCATGGTTCCCAAGCTTGTGCTGTAAGCATTGTACTGATGGAGCTGACTCCTGTCCCACTCTCACTTCTTATTAGCATTCATTTTTCTGAATTATGGCAACACAGACTTCTTTGTTTGCTGACCCTCACAAACCCTAGAATGACACATTCTTTGTTATTTTGTGGGACTGGATCCCTGCCCCCCACGCGCGCGCGTGCACGCACACATACACACACACACACACACACACACACACACACACACACACACACAGAGAGAGAGAGAGAGAGAGAGAGAGAGAGAGAGAGAGAGAGAGAGAGAGAGAGACTTGGAGGCTTCAAGCCCCTTATAGATAACAGGTGTTTTAGAGTACCCATCAGTCTGTACACATCTTCTTACATACATTAAATCATCTGCATCATGCCTATAATACCTATGAAACACATATGCTCTACAAATTAAAAAAAAGTAAATGTCCAGAACATATGCACTTTTTAATTCTTCAGTGTTTTGGAATTCTGGTTGGTTGGATTCATAGATGAAGATCCTGAGAATATGGAAAGCTGACTGTACTTATAGGTGGGTGAGTGGATGATAGATAGATAGATGATAGATAGATAGATAGATGATAGATAGATAGATAGATAGATAGATAGATAGATAGATAGATAGATAGACCTTGAGAACAAAATATTGTCCAACTCTTTGGATTTCATGAGGCCAGGAAGCTAATCAAAATTGGTAGCTAAGCTGATATGTACATGCCTTCCATTCAGAGGATGCCTCCACTTTGATGAGAAGAATCCAAATTCAAACACAAAATCTACTTTTGCAAAGACAGCATTTTGGGGGATATGGCTCTGTAGATCCAGTAAAAAATCTTATTGAGGCAGCTTCAGGCTCTGTTTATTATACAGCATTTCAGATTCAAGCCTCATGAGAAAAAATAATGATCTAAAAAGCTGCCCAAAGGAATGGATAACAAAACCTCCTCAGAGCAGGCAGCTCAGAGAAGCAATGAACTCACCATGAAAGGATGTTCCAGCAAGGGCTGGGTGCACATCTGTTAAGAATGTCTCTGAAGGAATTGCAAAATGAATGAGAGGTCAGAGATTAGAATCTAGGACTCCTCATGACTTTGATATGTTGTGATCTGTGGTTGACAGAATAACGGCCTCCAAAACTGTCCACACCCTACACCCAGATCTGAGAATTTGTTACCTTAAATGGCAAAAGGGGCTTTGAAAATGCGATAAATCTTTGAGATGGAGATACTGTTCTGGATTATCTAGGTAGGTCCACGGTACTCTCTGGAACTCCCAAAACAAGGGAACTTTCCCAGCTTTGGCCAAGAGGCAAATTTAAAGATAAAAGAAATATCAGAGGCCTATGGTTTGTGGACTTAAAAAAATGGAGAAAAGGGTTGGGACCTAGAAAACACAAAGTGACAGTTATATCTCAGAGCTTCCCAGTATAGATCCCTTCTCACATCTTGACATGCACTCAGTGGAGCTTTTGGAGGATGTAGCTATGAGGTCATGACTTCATGTTGTCTTGAATCTGTAGTGCTTGTTACAAGCCCTGTAAGAAGCTCATGCACAACCTTGGGATTTCTTACACAAAACAGGTAAAAGTGCTGATCAAAGAAGGATGCTGCTCCAGCTTTGATTTCTAGCATAAGCAGATGACTTGTCCTGTGCAACGAAAGCGTCTGTGGATACCAAGGAAGGACCCCTAGAAAGTGGGTGAGTCTCTTCTGAGAGGCTCAGACTCATGCTCTTAGGATGTCTTAATGCTTCTCTGGTGACTTTCTTTCTATTAACCCTCACACTTAAATCTAGGTTAAAAATCTGTTTTTACTAACTAAAGCTCTGTTTCATAGGTCCAATATATAAATAAACCATAGAAAATATTTTTCTTTTTTGAAAGATACGTACTCTTTTTTGTATCTGTCTGAGTGTTTGTTTGTCTGAGTGTATGCTTGTGACCCATGAAGGGCTTATGAAGACCGGAAGTGGGTATCCAATTCCCTGGGACTAGAGTTAGAGGTGGTTATGAGTTGCCATGTGCGTGCTGGGAAGCAACCTAAGTATTCTACAAGAGCAAATTATCTTAACCCACAAGTCACGTCTCCAGCCTCCAAAGCATGCATGGTCTGTGTGTCTCTCACCACCCCAGCACTACACCAGGGCTCTTTCCTTCCATCACAAAACTGTAAGTACTTCCCCCACAAAGCTTTGGATGAAAGGGCTCCTTCTCCACTGCTTCTAAGTCAGAAAAAGTGTTGACAAAATACAAACTTGGAAGTCCACTGAACAAATAAAAATATTTTTCATTTTGCCTGATCATAACTTCTGTCTTATGTATTGTTGAATAAATGCCTTAGAACATATTTGCTACTACACATAAATTAAACGTTTTAAGACCAGTGGGTGAAGTCACACTGTGTATTTTATTTCTCTAGAGACTGGGAAGATTTAGGTGATTCCCTCATTCCGCAGCTCATGCAGTTATACATATTGGTGAGAACCCCAAAGATGGAGGTCATGTCATATCCAAAGTGAGAATGAGGCTGGAGAGCTACCAGGGGAAAACTCAGCCATTACTCTGCAGAGAGCTCCCCACAATTCTTGAGTCAGGATATAGGACCCATGCCAGCCTCAGAATCTGAGGGAGACCATGCAAAAGGCAGCCGAATTTTAAGCTGTATGTGTATGAGGAATTACTTTTATTCTAACTCTGACCCCAAAAGGCTTCAATCTATCCATTTTTTAACCCTAACAAATATTCAAACATATTGACTTGGTAAAAGAATAGTTTCCATATAGTTTAATGTACTGTATGTAAATTAATAAATATAACATGTTTATACTATTTAGGATCATCTGTGTGTCCCATGCATTGTGAAAACCTAGGCTACTTCATCAAACTTTCTACAGCCTTTGCAGATCTGGAGCCAAGAACAACTCATCCTTTTTTGTTCCCAAATTTCTTCTCAACATTCCCCCTTTCCTGTTTTCTAGAGAAACAAGTGGCACATGTGTAGCTGGAGGCCGGGGGTATAATGTAGACTCTTGTCTCAGATACTCCTTTCACAAGACTCATTGAGTAATCCTTTCCAAGATCACAAATAATATCAGTAGGATGGATGTACATGAAACTTGGTAACTTTCAAAATTAGAGACTTGGGTGAAAACTCTCACAGTACAGAAGGTGACATGAAGGTCTCTGATCTCTGCTCCTGCAGCCATCCAAGACCGTATCTATGTAACAATGGAAAATGTAGGAATCTATCATGTTCTATTGAGTCACCAGACTAAACAAAACTACAACAGACTGTGAAGGATGAGCATGGACAAACTTGAAGAGATTCAAACCCTCCTGAACATAAAATAAGCCCTCAAGATACTCAGAGATAAACCAAATAAATGATGTTTAAGGGTCCAAAGTCAAAGACACACCAGGGTATCCCAATCCAAAGGGCATGTGATGGTGTCTCCTTTCTGACAAATGCAGAGGAAGCTTTTGGTCAGAGTCTTCCCTGTGGGTGCTGGAGGCAACTGGTCCTCATAGTCAGAGTCGCCCTTGCAGGTTCTGGAGGTAGCAGGTCCTCACTTAGAATGTTGTTCCACTTCATGTGTTGAGTGACAAGAACATGCTGCAGTCTTGAGAGAGAAAGAGATTAGATCCACATCAGGACAAGGACTCAAGCAATTCCTTGTAACTCCGTGCACAAAGATTTCACCGAGTGGGGAAACACTATGTAGGGTTTATGCAGTAAAGAATTAAACATCACATAAGAATAAATCAGGGTGGAGCTGTAACTCAGTGGCAGAATTTTTGCCTAGCATGACCAAGGCCCTGAGTTTGGCCCTCACCAAAATCAATCAATCATTCAAAACAGGTTGTGGTATACCCAGGTCTAAATGAATTGGCTATGTGAAGAACATCAATTCCATGATCAGAGACCTCACTGGAACTGGGTTTTGTAAAAACCTTAAGTCATACAGTCAGGCAGTTCCAAAAGTTCTCCAGAAGTTGTGAGACAGATTTCTTAGAGGCCTCACAGGACTAGGGCCACAGAGGACAAGTTAACCGCTTGAACTGGGAGACCAGACTTCCACAGCACTCACTTGCCACAGTAGCCTGTTCTCTTAGCTCATAACTATAGACACAGAGACCTTTATGATAAGCTTCTGGGAGAAGGAAAGGCTAAGCCTGGCTCTTGGCTTAGCATGTGAATCTAAGCATCAACCAGACCAGTTTACCCCACAGTTTCACATAGCCACCAGCTTGAAAGACGACGATTAAGGACAATTCCTCCCACAAGCCGGGGCTTCGGATGAAGAAGCTGACTTCACTCTGAACAGAAGAAGAAGTGTGCTGACATGAAGAACTCAACAGGATCGTGGAAAATGGCTTGGCCTGTTGGTCAGGAAGCCTGGGAGGAGAATGGTAGACAAAGAGAGAACTTAGACGAGAAGATCTGGGAAAGATTTCAGGTGGACCGATAACAGAATACAGAGTGAAATGATGTTGGTGTTGCACAATACTGAGTGCTGAGTGAGCCTCTGCCTTCTAAGAAGGAATAAAGGATGAAGAATGGTAGACAGATAGCACCAGCCAGCCCGTCATGGGCACGATGACCACACAGATAGGGCAGGTACATGGTAACAGACGTTAGGCATGGATCCAGGGTCATGGCCTTTTATTCTCTATGGCTAAGGTAGCCACTACCACTGTCAAATGCCCAGCTTGTGAGTTACAGAGACCACAACAGGGCTCCCTCCCTCCAGAAGACAACTTGACTACAGTGGACCACTTCCATCTTGGAAAGGGTCTAGATTCTGTCCCACTTTTCTACCTATAGGGTTTTTGCTAGCATTTCTAAGAACTTCCATCAAAATTAGATAAATCCTACCTAGTGCTGTATTGTATGGGCAGATTCTGTGACTGTGGGGAAATGACTATGAAATCCACTGATTCTGTCATTATCCACACTCCAAATGAAGCTACTAGCTTGGTAGAGTGATAAAAGGGCCCTTGGGAGATCCCTCTCTGTCACCAACCTGGAGATAAAACTCCAAAATACTAGTAGAGATTTCTCCAGGACTCACGATATACTCCAATGCAATAGAAATAATGATTCAGTGTCCCCACCTGGCAGAAGACATGAGTCAGAATTAGAGGGGTGCAAGAAGGAGTGGCCCCACTGACCATCCCTCCTGGTGACCCAGTTGAGGCATTTGCACTTTCCATCTCTGTGACCTCCAAGCTCTGGGGACCTAAAGATCCTACTTCCCAGAACAGGAACTCGCCCATCAATGGTAAGAGTGCCATTGTATTTTTATCTACAACCTGTTCACTTGCGGTTCTTATACGAAGAGTCTGGAGAGGAACAAGAGAGGAAAGAAATTGGAAGTCATATAATAGGGGGAGCTATCTGGTGACCCAGGGCATCACGTAATCAGTGTCCAGTCCTCAGAAGAGATGAATACCATCTGTAGCCATGACTAGAAAAGGACATAGTAAAAAAAAAAAGGCTAGGTCACCAAATCACATGAGCTCCTCAGAGCAATAGGAGTAATAGCTAAGGACATGGAGAATCGTAGATACTAGAAGATATGGACCATGGAGAACAGATGTAGTCAAAAGAACAGCTTCATTGACTGTATCTTTAGAAGTCTCCCTGGCAAGGGAACCAGCCAGGATCCTAGAATTCAAAGACAGTCATGAGAAACGAAGCTAAGGAGTGGGCTGTCTGGCCCATGTGTATTAACCATTCCAACTCGGGAGAGTTTCGGTGGCTTGCAGCTTTCAGCTAAATCCCTCTTTGAAAATAATTTTTGACTAAAGAGGAGACTTAAAGATCACACCTTCTCCACATTGGCAGCTCACACTCAAGGATGGCTGATGAGACCTGGAAGCTAGAGGTGTGAGGCTCAGACTCCCATGACCGCACCTTAGTACTGAACTTCTCAGTAGCCTGCCAGGCTCCAGCATGTTCCATGGGGTTTTTCATAGCCTCACTTGTGACTTCATCATGGTGAAGCTTACTCTTCCAAGGTCTTGTCCCTAATAGTGTTCCCCATTGAACATTCCACACACAACCTCTAAGGCTCAGAATCCAATCCATCATGGGCATCACATACCACACACATACACACATAAACACACACACACTACACACACACACACACACACACACACACACACACACACACACACACACACTCATGCATGCACAGCAGCTCCTATCCCATTTAGAACAAAAGACAAAGGTCCTACAGGACCATTAGGTTCTTCTTGGTCTAGCACCCACCAATCCATCTCTGTCCCTTAGTTTTACATGCCTCTCCCCTCGAACCCACTATTTCTGCGGCCCTGGCCTTTCTTGGGTGTTCTAGGCAGGTTGTTCTCTGGCCTCAGAACCTTTGCTCATGCACACCCTACCACAAAGGCAGTTCTGTTCTCTATTTATCCTTCAACCTTTAGACAAAATGCCTTCTTCAGTCCCAGACTTTATCAGAGTGCTGCTGCTTGGGCTGTGCCACTGCCCTGCTTCTGCCATAGCCCCTATCAATTGAAACAAAACATCTGTGTCACAATTTAGTTGACATCTGCTTTGCTTATTGTTATAATGCAGCACATGGCACAATACCCCATACTTCTACATGATAATAAATGCCTGTTAAATTTGTGAATCAAGTGCTACCAGCAGTGGCGGCACACACACTTAACCCCAATACTTGGGAGGCAGAAGCAGATGGACCTCTGTGAGTTCAAGGCCAGCCTGGACTACACAGCAAGACTCTGACTAATAAAAACCAACAAAACATTTAAAAAAAAAAGTCAATTTATACAAATAGATGTAAGACTGACTAGGTTCTGGGACCTCCACAAATAGTAAACCTAACACACAGCTTTCAGCATTGACTTTTGTCTTCTGTGGGCATTTTTCTTGACTGGTGATTTCCTTGTTTGGTAGATTCCTGCCTAACCAAGGCAACATCACCTGACTTTACATCTCAAGTAGTTAATCTGTTTCTTCCTGTTTGTGAACTAAGAAAAGGATTTTTCTTCCTTTCCTGATTCTCAGACAAGACACTTCAAGAGTGTTTATTCAAATAAATCCTAAGAAAATGCAAATATAAACATCTATGTTGAAAGGCACAGGTGCTTTTGTTTTTTTCCTTTTTTTAAAGTTTTTTCCACATATTTTGTGTACCACAGGTACACACAGAACACACACGTGTGGGGATCGTGTACCAGTCAGTTTGTAGGTACTAATCATATTCTGTGTCTAGTAGGACCAAGGATAACCCAACTACAGGGGAAAGGCGCCCCTGTCATTCCCTACTCTGCTAAATGGTGAATGTGTCAGCCTAGAGTAGTCTCCCAGGTTGAATGATGCACATGGCCTAGAACAAGACCAACAAGTTCTAACAGTATGGGCCTGGGTATGAGTGTGGAAGAGAGCCCCACACGCAGTGAAGCAGGTGCAGAGGTTCCAGAGGTTCCATGCAGCCAGAAACCACACAGGGTGTGGGTTCCCTGTTGCTGAATCTTCCAACTCTTCCAAGAAATGTAGAGATATACTCAGGTTTGTACAATTAATATTTTACCTTACCTTAAAAAAAAATAAAATGGGGGCGGGGGGTAGAGAGTTGGCTCAGCTATTAAGTTTTCTGCTCTGGCAGAGGACCAGGATTCAGTTCCCAACACTCACCTGTCAACTCATAATCATCCATTCTTCCAGTTGCAGGGCATCCAGCATCCTCTTCTGGCCTCCATGGATGTTGCATGCATGTGGCTCACATATTTACATGCAGGCAAATGCTCATACACATAAAAAATTTAAAAATAAAAACGATAAACAAGATAAGATATCATGACTTGCAAATCACAGTTAGCCATTGGTGTCTTGTTCTAGAACCCTCCACAGGCAGCAACTCCATAGAAGAATGCCTGAATCTCTTGTCTAAAATGGCATGGAGCTCTCATCTTAAATCCTGAGCATTTTTAGTCATCCTGGATTGCTTATAATTCCTATTGCAATACAAACATTGTAAAGGTGGTTTTACACTATACAGTTCGGAAAACGGAAGATAAAAGAATAACTCATCCATGTTTGGTTAAGATTTAATTTCTTTCCCCAAATACTCTCTGTTTGCAGGTTTGCAGGTAGTTAAACCCAAGGACATGGTGCATTCAAACCAGAGCCAAGTTTAAGGACTGTAGGGAGCTCTGCATTGTGAATCAAATACAGTCTCTTCAAACTCACTCAGGGACAGGACAGGGCCCTAGGAATGACTGTGCCTCAGTTTCTCAATCTGCCACATGAATTTGTAGGGCCAAATGTTCAGCTCTCAGTTTCTGAATGTCCCTCTGAAACCTGCTGTGCACCCAGCCATGCTCTCATCCCCAAGCACCTCATTTGCCTTTACAATCTGAAGGCAAGTGAAAGGTGTTTTGCTGGGATTTCCATTTCCTTCAAGGGCTAATTGCAAAAGACAGGGACGAGAGCGCACACCATGCTCTCCTTCACATCTCATTACATTTATTCAGCTTTATTACGAATTCTTTGTTCATATAATTTTCACCCTGGGATCTACACATTTTGTCTAGTTACCCCAACTCAGAAAACCCACCTTAATTCCAGAGACTTCAATCACCTCCTAGGATTTTTAAAGCAACAGTTTCAGGGTTCACACTAGCTTCCCAAGCAGAATGCTGCTCTAAAGAACAAGCAGGGCCGCTCTCTGAAGCCCAGGGCATGGCCTGGGGACGCTAGAGGCTCACTCCCATGATCACAGAGGTCTGTGTCTGTCCTCTGAAATGCATAAACATGTACAGAGAGAGAGAAGCTGTCTTTCCAAAGTCCTTGGTAGCACACACCTGTCATCCCAGAACACAGGAGGCTGAGGCAGGAGGACCACAAGTGTGATGTCACACTAGACTGCATAGGGAGACCCTATCTCAAAATATCAAACCAAATCCCCACAAGAAGAGCAGGAGAAATAAATGTCTGTTGAAATCCTCAAAACCCAACCTGAATTAGGAAGTATGGGATTCTATGAAAAATGTCCAGCTCCTGCAGTAGGTCTTGCATCTCTGCTCCAGCACAAACAGCATCTCAGGTCCAGCACAGGTACTGTACCTCCCCTGGCCACTTCCACTTGTCAGCAAGCAAAGCCACCTCCCAGCTAGGGAGTCTCATCTCCAATTTACTTTACCCAGATTTAGGAAACAGGTTCTCCTCCCCAGGAAGCCAAGGATGAAAAGGACAGGAAATACGCACATTCCCCGTGAAATACCACTCCAAAGGACAAACGCAGTAATCCCACCAATGATGCTCCAAGCCTGTGATGGCTAGCAGCCGACAAATACCCGCAGACCTCAATCCATTTTTATTGTATTCAGGCTGCAATGCTGTATTTCCTGCCTCCCCTTAGCACCACACATACAGTGTACTTGAAAACAAAAATCTATAATATTGATCCCGCAATGTCACCACAATTATTCTTTTGAAACAGCCATTGAAAACAAATTACATCTGCACTGCCTTTTCATCCGCCTGCTGCGAGTGAGCAATGCTCACTGTGGCCTCCAGCACCAGGGTGTTAGCACTGTGTCACGGCCGACAGGCCGGCCCAGGGACAAGGCAGGCGGGGGATGGGGGGGGCATGAAGAAAACCAGATCAAAGGGTCAGTCTGACTGGGCATTCAGGAGAGGGTGTGGACTCCCGTGAGGCAGTAAGCTGAGCCAATCTGGGGAGAATCCTGGGCTGCCCCTGAAACTGCTGTTGGGGCTCTGGGAGTGGGGGGAGGGTCCCCCAACTCGGTAAAACAAAGATTTAGCAAAGCACTCATGTCCGGATGTTCTAGTTTTTAACGTAATAACAGTAAGAGACACTAGAATTTACACTAGCTCACCTAATGTGCATAATTCTAACAAATTGAAGTCTCCTTAACAGAACTGAAGGAAAGCAGGCAGATGTTCCCATAGTCCCGGCCATCCCCCACCCCGGATTCTAACTAACACCCCGCCACACACACACCCATGCTCTTAAAAAAAAGCCAGGCTTTCCTCTTTGGCAACAAGCTGTCTCTCCCGAGCATGGAGAAGTATCAGCAACTCACTGGAGAGCTGAAGCTTGCTATAGATGTGGTGGCCCAGCCCCGGGGTCCCCCAGGTCCTCTCTGTAACTGAGCAGTTGTCCTCTCTCCAGGAACGGCTGCAGTCAGGAGCCGCCTGCCTGTTTTAGATTGTCGTCTTTGGAAAAATTCTCTGCGTAGTAATTAGATCCCTGCCACAGAGTGGTGGGCAAAGGGAAATTCTTTTGTTAAGATTTGACCACACAAGTCAGAGTGGCCACTGTAGCAGTCGGGAAGTGATAACTTTGGGCCGTTAAAAAAAAAAAAAAAGCCAATAGCCTTGTTGACATGGACATGGGAACCTAACCCTGAAGCCTCCTGGTATGACGCATTGATTTTTCTGTCCGTGTACAGTTCTAAAGCCATCCATTCTGCATGGTCAAGACTCCAAGGGCCAGCGAGAGAAGGGGGAAAAAAATCTGTTCTTGTTTCGTACCTCCAGGCAAAGTTGAGAAATAAATTCCGTGTTTTGAGAGATGATTTGTTCAAGCTATGTTTAAGAGAATATGATTGTATTAAAAAGAGAGAGAGAAAGAGATTTCGTTGCCCTGACCCCCTTTAACCTGTGGCCACTCATCTTCATGTCAAAATGTTGACACCAAAGGCATGACTTACAGAGGGTGTGGGATGCCAGGGGATGAAGGATGGAATAGGGACATCTTTGCCAAAAGAGAGGTTTATTTATTTATAATACCATTAAGCGGCCTGGTAAGTCCTCTATTGTAATCCTAGTCTGACCACCTCTCATTTCTGCATCCTGTGTGAGTGTTTGTCTTATAGGCACCCCTGTTTCCTGAATGCTTGCAATAACCCTGCTTTGTCCACAGCTAAACCAGTCCTGGCTGACCCTCCCTTCAGGTCTGCCTGTGATGCCCCACCCTCCCCACGTGCAGTGGCAGCCAGATACTACTAGATCCCAGAGAGACTCCTAGATCCCAGAGAGACTCGTAGCATCACCTGGCCTTCTCCAAGACACCCCCAGGGTCCACATTCACACCCTCTGTTTCTCTGTAACCCAAACCCTTTGCCCGTTGTTGACTGTGATAAGCAGAGAACTTGGGTGAAGGAGAGAGAATGCATGCTTTAGAGAACTTGGGTGAAGGAGAGAGGATGCGTTCTCTAGGGAACTTGGGTGAAGGAGAGAGGATGCATTCTCTAGGGAACTTGGGTGAAGGAGAGAGAATGCATGCTTTAGAGAACTTGGGTGAAGGAGAGAGGATGCATGCTCTAGGGAACTTGGGTGAAGGAGAGAGGATGCATGCTCTAGGGAACTTGCTGAGACACTGACTGACAAGCAGCCAGTTTTATGTGCTCAGGACTTTCTGGAGCATTTAGCTATTTTAGTCCCCAATAAAGAAAGCTCTGGTGCTGGTCAGGAAGCAGCACTCACAGAGGTGGAAGACTAGCGTTTGAGCTGTAAGTTCACGGCACCGTTTTTCCTGGTATTCCATACATCATTTCCTGGTGCAGAGGAACATGGAGCTATTTTGGGGGAAGCTCAAAAAGACAGACCAAAAAATCATGAAAATTTCCTGACCTAGACAGAAGGAAGGACTGAATACAAAACCAGAAAACACTAAAATGATTGCTCTCACAAGATCCCCAGACACACCTAGCATGGGCTTATCCCAAGTGTGTACAGTGTAACAAGACAACAGCATGCTAGCACTCTAGTTAATGTCCTACACCCAGTCACACAAAACACTCCCGCCAGATAACTGTGCCTCGCTCCTCTTACAGAAGAGTATTCTTAAATTAGGTTGGTGTGAATGTGTTTGTATATTTATTATTAAAATACTTACTGTTCTGCCTTTTGAAGTCGATGGACAAATGATTTAGGAGTGGAAATAGACGAGAAACAAAATTAATGCAAATAATGTGTTGATTTTTTTTTTAGCTTGATTAGCCAAGCCAATGGAAAATTCTAGAAAACGTATACAATTATTTTAACTGTCACAGGCTGGCAATTGTAATTGACATGATTTGTACGAGATGCAGTGTAATAACTGAATATATTAAAAAAAAATCTCATGCCTTGATTACCAGGAGAACATTACTAGTGCCACGATATTATTAACAGCACAATTATTGTGGCATCCTTAGGATACGCTCTTAGCACTTCAATGCATTAGTGAACCTTTGCTAACGAAGAAAAAATTAAAGTACAGCAAATTTCAAAGCACCAGTTGTACCCAATATCATTAAAAATTTATAAAACTTCCTCTGAACATGACAAGTGTTTGGTTTAAATGAAGATCAGCCACAAGGAGAAAGCAGAACCCCTGATACTCTTTGTCTCCGTCCTCACCCTCCCTTTCTCCCTTTCTCTCTCCCAGACCTCCCCCAGCCGGCACCACCTCAATCCAGCTGAAATATGTAACCATTACAGAGTGACAGCTTGACACACAATGACCCGTCAGAACATTCATCTCGCAATGTTTTATTTTAGTGAGGAGCCAAACTACAGAAAAAATAAGCAAGTTGTTTCAAGGCTTGGAAGGAGATCAAACATTTCTGGCATGCCCACTTACCAGACCTTTGATTTACAAGGGACTTGTCAGAGCCCGATTAGACAGTGTGTGCTTAAAAACCTACAGAGGCTCCTCAATTGCCCCAGCACACCACCATTTCCCCCATGGAGAGCGACCCTTTGTTCCCAGGTCCCGCAAATACAATCGAGAGCACAGAACTGTGCACCCTTGCAGCAGAGCCAGGGAATAGGTAAAAATCCAAATCAGTTAAGCAGCTGCAATGAAATCTCTTTTGCCAAGGAAGGTTGGGGGGTGGGGTAGAGGAGAGAGAGGGGGCCCATGCAAGATGGGTTCTTCCACCAGTTTCTCTCTTCACTTCTTCCTTCCAAATCAAAAGTTACCGTCTTTCCCAGGAAAAACAGAGCCTGCCTGTGATTACTACCACTGGGGGGCTGAGCTTTCTCAACTTCATTCAAATAGAAACAGCTTTATAAAAAAAAAATGAATTGGACCAAAAGTGCAGGTGTTTAAAATATGTTCACGGTATTACGATTTTTGCTAGTAATTACAACTAGGAAATAGCTGGAAATATATTGTTTCAATTTGTATGGAGAACAATTGCCGAGCGTGCGCACTCGGCATGATCTGTGCCTGGCATCAGAATGTGTAATTCCTTAACCCTATATGGAGGCCCAGGGCTCACTGGGGCAAATTATGAATCCATGTGTTTGGAAGGACAGAGTAGTAAATTCAGCTTCTTGTGTATCCGTTACAACGCAATCCGACATGTGTGATTTATGGAATATTAAGTTAATACAGTATTATGAAATTAGCTTAATGCACTAAAGCTGTAATTTTAAAGTGAAAAACAATGCGACCAGACGTAAACAATATCAACATTAGCATTTCGTGAAAGCTGAAACCAATTCACTCAGAATGTGTCTGGAGAGTCACAGATTTACCTCTCCTGCTGGCCCAAGGCTCAGCAGGCTTTAAGACCTCAGGACCAAGTCTCCAAAATCGAGGCTGCCTTCCCTCTAGTCAAAGTTAGCTGGGCCAGCTGTGGGCATCAACCAGGGAAGCTGCCTCAGGGGAGTTGCCAGGCATTGTTCAGGGCGGGTCGCATAAATAAAGGAGGAGGAAGGGCCTCCTGCCCCTACACACACACACACACACACACACACACACAGAGAGAGAGAGAGAGAGAGAGAGAGAGAGAGAGAGAGAGAGAGAGAGAGAGAGAGAGAGAGAGAGAGACAGAGAGACAGAGAGACAGAGAAAGAGAAAGAGAGAGACGGAGACAGACAGAGACAGAGAGAGACAGAGACAGAGAGAGACTCCTGAGCTCAGGGAGACAGCTGGGGCACCAGAAGCAACTCAGGAGACTTGAAGTTCCCGGCTTGGAATGGATGGGACTCTGAGGTCAAGCAAATCTTGTTAATTTCAAACAAAAACAAATCTAGCCAAGTTGTCCTGGGATCGTTAGAGAGAAAACTTAACCAAAGGCAAGCAGAGACTTATGATATGACAAAGCACCAAAACGGTGGTTTCTGAGAGGTTCAGTCACACATGCCCAGCATGGCCTTCTGCAGACCAGCCCAAGACTCATGGGAGGGGTGTCAATCAATGACTGATGCCGGCAAAGGGGATGCAAGTTCCCTCTGTCCCTGACCTTCTCGTCCGTCCATGACACAGAGGATCCTTTGGGACTGAGGAACAGTGAGTCCAAACAAGACCTGGTCTTTCTGACACCAAGGACTGGGGCAAAGGGGAGAGAGGAGGTGCTGTTGTGTGGGGAGCAGCTGTAGAGTGTCACACACTGTCCTTTGCTTTCACCTGCAGTAGCCAGACACGTCATAGTGCAAATGAATGCAGATGCTCAGGACCCAGATGCAGCCTTTTGGTGCCAGTGTGCCTGACACCTCTGCCCTATGGATGCTCCTACCTCTTGGTGACCACTGGGGTAGTATCAAACCAAGTTCCTCAGACCCTGAAGGAATGAATATTGAGCCTTGCACCTGTGTGACTTTGGGCATAAAGGGCCAGGTGTCACATTTCACTCTGATTCCCAGGGTTGAGAATCAACACGGACACTGGGGAGATGAGAATCAACCAGATAAATGGGATCCTGGAATATCCATAAGGACTGAGCTTATTCACAGGTCTGTGGTCCAGGCTCTGAGAGTCTGACCTTTAAGTGCCCTGCAGATGTCCCTGCAAAAGACAAACCCAGAACCTCATTGCCCTGAGCATCACAGAGAGTGCCCAGCCCATTCAAATGTTTAACAGAGTGAAGTTAACATTCGCCTTTGTATGGTATCTTCTTTTTAAGATTCCTTGTATGTGGCTTAATATGGTGATCAGGATGA